AAAACAAAACAAAACAACAACAAAAAAAACAAACAAGAAATACAGCATAAGAAGTTACTTTAGATGATGATAGTTTAACATAATTATTCCGATGACTTGTGATCCTTTTTCGAAGATTTCTGAAGATTTTCTAAAGAGTGATGGATTTCCCTTTTATACCCATGGGGTGCGTTTTGATATCGTTTCAACGTTGATTTGCCATGTGCATAGTCTCACTATGCCAAATATAAATTTAAGCTTATATATATTTAAATGGAAAATTCCTTGGTGAAAATTACACAATTTCTTCCGGTTATATAATTTTGTAAATAAGTAAGCCCTTCTAAATTTGTGGTCTTTCGTTGCAGTATTTTCGAAGACTTGTAGGGCTCATTTAGGCTACATAGAATTTGCTTTGTGTTTCATATCTTTATGTTTGTCTACACTGCAATTCGGTATAATGGTTCATATACCACGAAGGCTAAGTCAATGAAAACTCTTGAAATGGATTATCTAATGTCCAGTTTTTAATTATGTTAATTATACAGAAACCAAAAATTCCTTTCGTGCCAAGACGGCTTTGGAATATAAGCTTATATACAAAACGGCGTTTGTGAAACAGGAAAATCTAGAGTTGAAATTCAGCAGTAAAACGTGGCATAGACACAAGCCAACAACAATACATTTGAACCTCCCCTTGCAGACACCGTAATACAGACACCTGTGTACATGTGTGAAGAGATTTTGTGTGTGTTTTGCTTGCGGATTTTTTTTTTTTCAACTTACCAATTTCACAACACGTTCCAACATATCCCGGAGGACAAGAGCAACCGTTTCTTGAGGGAGTTCCTGAATTCTGACAGTTGTCTCTGTTGCACGAGCGAATCTCTGACAAATGTGGACATGATCCTCCACAGGTCGCAGTGACGGCGACTGTTCTTGCCCTCGTTTGTGTTCCAGTTGTCCCACATAGATGGGTGCAGGGACTCCATGCTGACCAAGAGCTGACTTGACAAACACGCGGACTGCAAGGCAGTAGAGAGCCTCCTCTTCTACGCGGCTTCCAAGATTCGGCGTCCCGAATAAAAACCGTTATTACTAACGTAACAGCGAAGAATTTGGCGGTCCACATTTTTCGAAGCTTAAGGAATGAAGACATCGAATTCTTAGCAAAAGTACAATTTTTGGATCTTGTGCGCTGTTAGCAACGTAGCCGGAACAAATGACTAGAAAACGCCGAAGACGGTCTTACATATTTAAGATTGCGGAAAATAAATTCTCGTTTCACCGCTGACGTGTAGGTTTTGCTCCCGAGGCTTATATTTTTATAAATAATTTGAAAATGATGCAATGTCTTCTGATTTTTATTAGAATATCTCACATGAGACATGATTCAATATTAATTTGTAGCTCAGTTGACTTTAGGATAATGTGGGGCATTATAAAATATTGGCTTGAGAGCTTTCCACTTTAAGATATTTCTCAAGTATAAAGAACTAAATCAAGCAAGTACTTCATGTCCTCGCACGTAAATGGTCGTTAACAATACCTCCAGGAAGTAATTCCTGAGTTTATATGGAGCGTTGGACATGGTGGAATGTATAATTTGACCTTATAAGACAGGAGGATTGAAAATACTGTGTTCGAGACTTTTTCACGAAGAATTCGTAACTGCACATTGTAAAGAAAAAAAACTTTCCAAGTACAGTTTCATCTTGTTGTAACGAAAATTCTTGAGTCAAAATTCAGCGGAAAAACCAACTTAGACAAATTATTGCATGACAATATTAGGAAAGTTCAGGACAGTGCTTTTTATCCCCAGGGGGTTATGGCCCATTCCCCCAGGGAGTCATAGCAAAAAGTGACGTAAGACATGACACTGCAATGTTTTAAGACACTACTAAATCGTAATTACTCAAAGTTATATTAGTATTTTCAGTATGTCATTCCGTTATTTGGAGTTCAATCCACGACTTGTTTTGTGTTTCATTTTATTAATGACTCTTGACCTAACTTTTAATATGAAAATACTGAAATGACACTGCATAATTTTGAGAGCAGATTATATCACGATTGTTGAAAGTTACATTGCATAGCTTAAATGATTTACGTCGAGAGCAACATACAGTTTTAAGTTCCGTAACGACCTCAGAAAGGTCTTTAACAGCTCTAGCCGGTGATTTAAGAAGCTGGTGTTTAATTAAGGTTTCTGTAGAGTATAGTAAAGCTGGTTCAGGAGTATTGTTAATCCCCCTGGATGGGATTTAGATTCTTGCAGATTACCCCCCTCCACCGCAGGATTCCCATATACAGAAGGCGGATTCAAGTGTCATTTAGGATGTTTAAACTCCTCAAGGCATCTTCAGTTTAGCCTTGCGCGTGAAGTAATAAAGAACACAGTCATGCTGTGCTGTGGTTTAATTTAATCGCCCTTCCGGATATCGGAGAGCTTTCAATTGCAACGTCTATTTATCTTGCAGTTAAGCTATAACAACTGTAATATGTCTGTCTGATACAGACTGGCGTTTTTGCAGGGTCTAACAAAGCTGGCCCGACACCCAGCGGGGTTTAATTCAAATTTCAGATAAGTACATCTTCGTTCCTTTAACATACAATCCCCCTCACACCCCCACAAGGTTTGCCCCCAGCGTTTGGGCAGATTCTCGAACAATTTTGCGATATTTTCTACATTCCTTAGCCCTCAGGGTTTAATCAATGCATTCTTACAGCCTAGAGCCATCTTCTTTTCCTACTTAAAGGCATGCATGAAGGTTATACAATACTTTCTCGACAGATGCTTTTGGTCGGTCTGCCTGTCTTTTATCTTTGCCACCCTCCAATTTCGCCATTTTTATTGTTTATTTGTACCATCATAATTATACCTCATCCACTGTGAATGTAGTTATGTTTTTGCCCAGTGGGTACATGCACCGGCTGGCTGGTGTTGCTGAAGGGGTATGGGAAAGTTTGTGCAAGGCTTGATACACGCACTCCAATCACAGTTTCCATCTTAGAACGGATGTGTACTAATTGTGCACCTGTTCTGGATAGTTAGTCTATTGCCTGTTTGTTCAAAGCAATGTGTACCACTTCTTTTTATGCCTTTATGCGTATTGGCAAGATAACTGCCACTAAGTAGGCACCTGACGTCATACAGCTTGGTCAGGTTACCAAGCTCTTTCATACGTCTGGCTTTACAGCTTCGGTGAAGCTCACCTTTCATCAATTTAAGCACCATTATAACCAGCCCCCAATTTCCATAATTATTTCCCGCCAAGTTGTTTGCCCTGAGGAAAATCTCTTTTTCAGTTCGTGGCTCAGTGCTAGGGCTCCTATTTCAACACCTAAATGGGGTCCCCGTCACCCGAACGGAATTCGATGAGTGGTTGGCTCAAGCTCAAGGTAATAAGACATTACGGGCTTGATTCCACTAAATAAAAAGGTCATAGTTTTGGGATAGGTGCAGCCTCCCATGCAGCTGCATGTGGTTATTGATCTGATTCCCAAATTCGCGTTCTCGGAAGATGGAAATCGGATGCTTTTAAAAGGTATATTCGCCTTACCAGCCTTTCGTAGACATCAACATTGCACAAATTCTTGTTTTTGTCAGACTAGTTCGGCTGTAGGCTGGTGTGGCATAGGATTTGGTTTGCAATGGTAACTGTCCTTGGCCTTGGCGATACTTTATTATCTCATTCATTCTATTGCATTCCTAACATGACTGTTTTAATTTTTCCCAATAGCGTGCAGGGGCCACTGTTAACATAAACATGAGCCACACCCATGTTAGTTATTGACTTCTATCGCCTTCATAACCATTGTACGGTTTATTGGCACTGCCTGACTGTATAAATAGTGTACAGGGGTCACCATTGTCAGGCTAGGCCGCCATTTTCGTTTTAGTATGAATAGTTTTCATTGGTTACTACTAGCATACAGTTCGTCCAATTGTGCATGCCACTTCTTGTATTACGTTCTAATAGTGTGCAGTGAAGGGGCCACTACTGAGATTATGTCAGGAGAGTGTGTAGGGTTCTCTTGTCCTTCCACTTATATAACATACATCCGCTTACTCGCTAGCACTTACGTCCGCTAAATTTGGGCTGCTTCACTTTACCCAAATGAGCTTTGTCGAATTTTTGCCCCTACCTTTGCTGGATAGGGCTTCCTTTTTTCTTTTGTAATTGACATTAAATTGAAATGATTATTAAAGTGGCTATGTGGCCAGCCACATAGCCAAAGTTTATTCAAAAAATAGAGAGTTTGTTGATTCCTTGTCAAACACTCTTCTCGGCAAACAGAGCAAGCCCAAACAATAGTCTTTATTGTTGCGCTGTATATTTTGAAGAGGGGCAGGATAAATGTAATGTTTAAGTTCAATATATCTTAATCAAGCCAAAGGGAGAGTAAATAGAAGAAAAACGAAATCAGACGTGATAGAAGAAACCATTTCATTCCGGTTGAATGATTTGTTCAAAAAGCCACAAGTCCGAGACATGACGTCACTGGAATACGAGAACTAACGAGGAGCACAGGGCCCTTCGACGGATGTTACTGAGCGTTGAAAACCTACCAGAACACACTTCAAAAGCTACCAGCCATAAGGAACGTCGTGTACTACGTCTGGTAAGTTTGTTCTTTGACAGGCATACTGAAAATTGATTTTCGCGAATGCAAACGTGTTTGGGCAGCTCACCCAGTTGTTAGAGACGCGATTAGACCTGTATGGATGTCACATATTGACGCCTATAACCCGGAAACGAGTGAGCACAGTTACGTTCAGCTCCCCTTCTCCTTACGCCTCTCCCTTTTCCTTTCGAACTCCTCAACCCTCTGCGTGTTTAACTTGGTGGAGACTGTGTCACTCAGACTTCTCCATTTCTGCCTGGCATACCGTCCATTCGACAAACGTGACCTAGTCAGCGTTTAGTGAACCGTCTTTAGTTTTATATCTCCGACGTCTGCACGCTTTAGTACCTCTTCATTACTTGCGAAATGATCCCATTTGACAGCAAATTACACTGAATGAAATAATAGACAAATTTTGAAAAAGAACTCGAAAAGCGCAAACAAGACTTACTCTTCGCCACAAGTGCCTAAACGCATTCGTGGCATTCGAACCTGGTAAAGAAACATTCTAGTGAGACAAGTTTATCATGTCGAGCACGTATGTAAATTGTCTATCAAGATAATCAGTTTGCCATTCACTCCATAGCATTCAGCAAACATACTCAAATAGCGCTGCATTAACTCTTCACTTTCGTCTTGTGAAAGAGGTATCTTTTTTGAGTCAACGAGTGAAAAGAAACGATTTATGGGAAGAATCTTATCTTTCTTTCATCTTTGCTTCGAAAATACGGTTAATAATGCGATCCTTGCGCCGTGATCTTTGATGTATAAAGCGTTGAAAAATAGCTAACTCCGTTATGATACGATCGCAAAGTTCAAGATTGTTCTTAGTGTGCAGCAAGGACTCCTGATATTAAAACTGCCGCGGCATTCCATCAAAAGCCGACAGGAAAAGAGCAGACAGCTTCAATGGAATCCGAGTATTTGCAAGGACACATTTACCTCTGGGTGCGTTGCAAGATGATATACCTTTCCATTGTTTTTTTTTTTTTCAACTTTTGATAACGGCCATGTAACGAAAATACGTCGACACTGCTAGAAAGAGCACCCTAAAGTTAGTATTCAAGCCAAGTTCAGAAGTCGTATCTTTAAAAGTCGCAAAGTTGTAGCTTCGCAAAGTCGATAAATTTTACAGATGTTTGTAATGCGTGGGTCAACTTTTGTGCCCCCTAGCATACAAACGTCTGGTGAAATTTCCCGAATTTGTAGAACCCTATTTTCGCTATTTTGCAAGATGTGACTCTCAAACGTGATCACTTTACTAATTTGCAGGTGCTCTTTCTAGTGGTGTCGACAGATTTTTCGCTACATAGTCAAAAACAGAGAACTGGCAGCCTTAGCACGTTTGCGGCGCTCAACATTGTTCTTATAAACGGCAATGTTGTTTGTTTTGGCGCAGTATACTTTCGTTACGTTCAGTCTTAAAAGGAGAGTCAAATATAAAATCAATGGCCTTGAAAGTTACTAGAACTTTCAACCAACACAAAATTTCAGATCTCCTGATTAATTAATATTATAATCATCGGAAACAGAACCAGTGATAACACACACCAGTGAGACCATTTTGTCCTGTCTCATTTGCATACCGTAAAAGCTCTATTACCCCCCAAGGACTTAATAGAAAGGTCCAACTCAAGCAAATGCAGTGAACTGTGAAGTGGAACAGATTATTTAATAAAGAGCAGCCAACATTATTATGTATTTCAGTCTACATTTGTTTGAATAAAAACAAAACAAACAAACCAGCTGGGCCTCATGAAGTGGGTTTTGCAAGACAGAATAGGAGGGACTAATAACAGATCGCACGCCCTTCATTTTCTCTTGCCATGTTCCAAAGGGGGGTGGGGGGCTATTATAAAGGAGAGGGGGGCTTATTACAAAAACCGACTTCCAAACGGGGAGCCCATTAAAGAGAGAGAAAAAGAGAGANGGGGGGGAGTTAATAGGGAGGTGAGGGCTTAACAGAGCGTTTACGGTAATTATGCTGCTGACAAGCTGCCAGGAACCTAAAGCAAAACACCAAGAAACAAATCGGGACAGTTTGCGCAAAGATTGTGATAAATTGTTTATTCACTATACCAAAGTATGAGACATTACAACTCGCCCAAACTTACACGCACCCATTACGCTATTATATTTGGGTGAGCTGCAGATTGATAAAATAAAATGCAGTGGAAGTCTACATATGGTCATAAACTACGCATTTTGGCCGAAAGCTCAGAAAACTGAAAGAACCTTTGTGATCCTGGTGCCTTAACAATCCATTGCCGTATTTTGTTACAGTGAACATCATACGCTTCCCAGTCAAGCTGTGCCATGGATGATAATAAAGAAGTGAAGTTCACGTCCAGACGTACGAAGAGACGTAAGGTCGTTATTGGCGGTGTCATTACAGCGGTTTTGTTGCTAGGTTCAGTGGTTTTCTTGGCCGTCTATTTTTCGCTTTCAAAACAGAAGCCAGCTCGTTTGGTAGAAATCGATCTGAAAGAGGGTGAAATTCTGACTTATCGAGTGGACCAACATATAGAGCTGCACGGCAGCGATGGACAAAAGGGTGAGTCACGGCTGTTTTTTGTTTTTTTTTACAGTGCACGCTGAAGATTTAACCAATTTATTCTAAAATCAAAATAAGTACATTTAGTGAATGTCAAGTGTTTCTTCGTCTTTGATGACATACCGTAGTGTAAGAATTTCAACTGCTCATCAAACGAAAAACTTTTCCCTTGTTTATCTGACGTGATCCCCTGATGTAAAGACGTGTTTTGATTGGTTAAGTCGGCTTAGGTAGACCACTCTTGGAAGAAACTAGTATCATAGCTTTAAATTTTCAAAAGATTGGATAGGGAACTACGAAATCATCGCTTTACGAGCTGTAAAAAGGGCTACGCTTAGTACATTTACTCGGTTTAGGGACCATTTTCATTTTCGAAAAACTGCATGAAACAAGCCATTTCCTACTCAACCTTACCTTTCCACTTGTACTTCATGCAATTGCAGTGACCATCCGGGCAATAGTCGGTATCCGGGTTCTTAACAAGACGTCTGAGGAGTACTGGTTCCTGATGAAATCCAATTTGTCCCAATTGGGTCAAAATGCTACCATGAAAGACCTGTCGGACTACTTCCTTGTTCAACTCCATATTGCCTCAAGGTACAAGTAATATTAGTTGAAATTCAGTGATGTAAAGCAAAATCTTCGTTATTCAGCACTAATTTTCATCCACAGACTCAAATTTTCCACAACTCAGAACTGAACACGCCACAAAGTGAAAACTCTGACTCAGCATCTTCAATTTGAATAGCCACTCCATTGTAGATGTAGAGTTCCGATTTTTTCTCGTGAGTCGCAAATTTTTCAGCGTTCTCTACAAACTGACTCAAGCAGTTACTGTTTACATAAATTATGGGAATGCCATCGAAGTAAAAGTATGGTATTTGTGCTCGTGACGTCATGATCAATAGGTCATCTTTTGCATCTTGGCTATTGTTTATTAACTCGACATTAAAGTTTACACAGTTTGAGTTTTGAGCTTTTTGTATCTATCCTGGTCGTGTTTCCGATAGCCTGGAGAAATATAGTCGACGGTTTTTGAAGATGTGAGGGTTAGGAATTTGCCATAGCAACAATATGGTAATTATATTAGTCCTTTCGTACGTTCTGGTGTTTTGTCTACTTTCCTCTGTGTGGTAAAATCCTCGCGTCCTATCAACACTTCTCTGTCATCCCCCTAAGGCCGGTTGCAGTTTTGTCTTACTTGAAATTTCTCAATACTTAGGTTCAGTGGCATGATATTTGTATTCGAAGGTTTGCCTGCACGTTTGACGTTGGCTGGGTTTAAAGGCACGCGCAAACGCTTCCAACATCACGGTTTCAACATGTGCATCTGCTTCAAAATTAGTTTAACGTTTGTTGAAACAAATTTCAGAACCGTTTGAACTGAGATCGCCCAATGTTGTTTAATGCGTTGAAAATTGTTGAAAGCACGTTGAAAGCGTGTTGAAACAAGTTTTAATTGGTTTGATTCATCATCGTTCGACATTTCCTTTGTTTTTGAAAAAGTTGGATCGTCTTGAAGCCTTTTGAACAGCGCGTTCAACATTTGTTGAACAGAAGCATGCGCACAGGTAAACCTGGTTCTTAGATGTTGGAGCCGTTTTTAACAGTCTCTAACATGTTGGGTGCGTTTGACCATCGTGTTACAAGTTGTTAGTATTTGTTAATACTTGTTGGATGTTGTTGTTTCAACTGCCAACAGCAACCCAACACGGTTTTCAAGCGCACTCAACATGTTGGGCGCAACAATTTTGGATGATGTTAACCAACAACTTTGGGCCAGAGTGTTTGCGCGGGTTTCGGCCCCGTGTTCTTGACTTTCTCTGTATGTCAATAAGTTAACGCGTCTTGTCGACATTCCTTTCTACGTTAATGCGTTTTGTTGGCGGTTTCTTTGTCTTCTTCCCGTTTTGTTTTGCTAATGTGCTTCTCAGGTTGGTTTTACTCCTGTTTTTATTGCTTTAGCCTTGTTTTGTTGAATGAGTTTTGTCCTTACGCGAGAAGGATCGCCAGTAATCGCTTTATTCTTCGTTAGCTGGTACAGTTGGAGAGTGACCATAAATAGTCTAGAATCGAACGTTCATTATTTGCTATGGTATGCGATCTAGGGAAAGAAAAGCGGGCGACCATGTTTTCCAAAAGTACGTGGCTGACACTTTTCGTTGGCCGTCGAGTTGGATTCTTGCTATACTTGTAAGATGGAATCTCATTGATTTTTGACTGGAACCCATTTTTTTTTTTTTACGAGTCCGCAAATCCTGTTAACTCATCGACAGACTGTTAGTAACAAAAGGACTGTATGAGCCACAGGGAAACACCCCAACATTTCCACTAATTAAAGTTTACTTCCACTCAAAGTAGAAGGCGTGCTACACACGCAGTGAGGTAGCATTGATCTTTCGTTTGTATCCATATTGCATTTTCAAAGCGCCGCCAATACAGAGTTCGAAGTACAAACAAGCGCAATAAGGGCTAAGCCCTGTAAATGGCTCCAGGTTAAGCATACCAAGATTTTCTTTCTGACGTTTTCGCTTACTTGTACTCTGACCAATAGAACATATTCGTATTCTTGGCATTGAACTGGATCTAGCATGAAGTGGAGACTCTTACGGGGGAATACATTTACATATAAAAAGGTTCCCCCGTTCAAGCCTCGTGTGCAAGCTAGTTCCAGCTCATTACGGTGGATACGAATAAGGTCTATTTTACCGGCCCTATTTTTTGCCTCTTATGACCCCCTAGTCTCCAAGGATGCAATGTTCGTAGTGTTTTTCCTTGATTCATGAGAATAAC